AATCAAGTTTAGATAAAGATATCAAATTACGGGATAACTCCGGTACATAAGAGTATTAAACAAATCTAAATGATGTCCACATTTAAAATTAAACGATAGGTTCCAATGGCTTCAACTCGTGCTTTGACTCGATTCCCCATGTACACAAATCTTTCATTGTCGTTTACGATCTAGGGTCATAAGGAATCCCTGTAAATTAGAGATATGAGTGGTACATCCAGAATCAATCCACCAAGTATTATAGGAACTTCCGATAAATATGATTCGAAACATACAAAAGCACTAGGCTTACCTTTCTTTTGAACCATGCCTTACGTTTCAGCAGTCCCTCATATAGTGTCCAACTTTCTTATAGAATGACATTTTTCTTAGTCTTATCCTCTTATGGACTTGGGTAGAAGACTCATTAATCTTCAGTGGCCTTTTGCCCTTCCATACTTCTTGTTGGTTTGTTCTTAACTCAAATGAGCTCACAAGATTAACAAAATGAACTCCTTGTTCTTCAATCTTTTCTCCTCTTGAACTAACTTAGTTTGAAGCTGTCATATTCCATTTATCTTAATTGTTTTATAATTATTAATGGACTAAACTGAGGAGTAAAGAGTTAATGACAAACTGAACAAGAAACTTTCGTCCATAACATTCCCATGTTTCTAATTCTTGCTACTATATTAACATCTCAGTCACATGTCTACATGCTACGAGAACCATCATATTTCATGGTGGTCAGCCTACTCATTAATGCCTCGTGGGACTTGTACGCGGCCTCAAACTGAGAATCTCTTGGCTAATCTCATAAATTCCCTAGCATATTCTGTGGTAGAAGTGAGTCTTGATTTCACTCACCATGTCATCGTAAATATTTCAGGCCAATCTATTCGATCTCTCCCATTCCTTATGAAAAGCATCTTTCTTCATCAGTGTGTTTTCAGTAGATCAGCTGGTTTCTCTGTCATGAGTGCAAGGTCGAATTTGAACACCCAAGTAATACTGACTTGTTCCTCCATTCATTATAATGAACCCATTAAACTTAATAACAGATGAGTGTAAAGAGCAAGTTGAAAAAAAACAAAAAATTATGCTTACACATTATGCTTTGAGTTTTATATCTTATACATATTCAGATCAGATATTAAAAATTTATTATTAAAACATAAATATGTATTGAAAATCTCCTTTGAGAAATAACAATATACGATATTAAACTTAATTGATGCAATCTTTTATAAGTTTTCTTAATGTATTAATGTACTTTAGTAACATGTTTGTTATCTTTGTATATACTAAACACACCTAATCAAGTACATTAATTAACCAGATTATGTTCATACTTACATCTTTATCATTCATGTATACAAAACAACATAATATAAAGAAACATACAACAGAATAACTTATATCAATAAGAAACAATACATCAAGAGCTCAGAGTGACTAAACATAAAGAGCTTTATGCACATAAAAACAATATAATGTTAACAACATAATGTCAAGGAACATATACAATACATTATAAATCAATCATGACGGGCAATAATACCCATCCTTTCAACGTGCTCACTAAAGGTCTTAGGTGATAGCCCTTTAGTTAGCGGATCCGTTATCATAAAATTGGTGCTAATATGTTCAATAGTCACTCTTTGTTTCTGAACCTCTTCTTTAACGGCAAAGTATTTTAATTCCATATGTTTATAATTAGTACCTTTAGAATATTTGTTGTTTTTAGAAAAGAAGATTGCTGCAGCATTATCACAATAAATTTTCAGCGGCTTGGCAATACTATCGACAATCCCAAGTCCTGAAATAAAATTTCGCAGCCATAATCCCTGAACTGTGGTTTCAAAGCATGCCACAAACTCAGCCTTTATAGTGGAAGCAGCAATGACAGACTGCTTCACACTTTTCCACGAAACTGCTCCTCCAGCTAACATAACTATGTAGCCAAAAGTGGATTTCCTGGTGTCTAAACAACCAGCGAAATCTGAATCTGAATATCCAACTACCTCAAGATAATCGGATCTCTTATAGGTAAGTATATGATCCTTCATCCCTTGTAAATATCTTAACACTTTCTTTGCAGCTCGCCAATGATCTATTTCAAGATTACTTTGATATCTACCCAGCAGACCGACCGCAAAACTAATGTCTGGTCTGGTACATGTCTAAGCATACATTAAACATCTGACAACTGATGCATAAGGAATATGCTCCATTTGCTTACGTTCCAATCCAATCTGTGGGCATTGCTTAAGGCTCAACTTGTCACCTTTCTGAATTGGAACTGGACTCGCAGAGCACTTAGCCATTTTGTATCTCTCCAGAACTTTGTTGATATAAGCTTTTTGAGACAATCCCAATAATCCTTGTGATCTATCACGGATAATTTCAATTCCAATCACATAGGATGCCTCGCCCATATCCTTCATCTCAAAGTTCTTAGAGAGAAACTTCTTGGTTTCATACATCATGCCAAGATTATTAGTAGCAAGCAAAATGTCATCAACATACAGGACTAAAATTAAAAATGCGCTCCCACTGACCTTCAGATATATACACCAATCAACAGTGTTTTCTTTAAATTCGAAAGTGGTAATGGTATCATTGAACTTGAGGTACCACTGTTTGGAAGCTTGTTTTAATCCGTATATAGATTTCTTTAATTTACACACCATGTGTTCCTTCCCTTCAATTGGAAAACCATCAGATTGTTCCATGTACACTTTTTCTTCTAAATCCCCATTCAGAAAGGCAATTTTCACATCCATTTGATGAAGCTCTAGATCATAATGAGCTACCATTGCCATAATAATTCTAAACGAGTCCTTTGAGGAAACTGGCGAAAAAGTCTCGTTGTAATCAACACTGTCTGTTTTAGTAAAACCTTTGACAACAAGTCTGGCCTTGTACCGTTCAATATTGCCATTAGAATTGCGCTTGGTCTTAAAGACCCATTTACACCCGACTTTTCTACAACCTTTAGGCAATACTACTAGATCCCAGACTTCATTGTATTCCATTGATTTTAACTCTTCTTTCATGGCGTCTAACCATTTTACAGAATTATCACTTTTAAGGGCTTGTGAAAACAAAACTGGATCTGCTTCCATTCCTAAGTCAATTTCAGACTCTTGTAGATAAACCATATAATCATTAGAAATGGCAGATCTCCTTTGTCTTTGAGATCTTCTTAATGCTATTTCTTGTGGTTCATTTACTACTTCATGTGGCTCACCAACCACAGGTTCATTGATTACTAAATTATCAGGTAGTCTTTGCTCAATTATTTGTTGTTCCTGATTGTTATCAGAACGTCTAACAACTATAGGAACCACAACCTCTGTAGAAGTCATAGGCGTAGGGACCTGTACCCTGACTTCTTGAATATCCACTTTACGTGGTTCAACACTCCCACTGGTTTCACCATTCTCAATAAACCTTGCATTTCCAGTCTCAACTATTCTCGTACTATGGCTAGGACAGTAAAAACGATACCCTTTAGATTTTTCTGGATAACCAATGAAAAAACCACTGGTCGTTCTTGAGTCCAGTTTCTTTTCATGTGGATTATAAATCTTGACTTCTGCTGGGCAACCCCAAACATGCAGGTGCCTCAAACTAGGTTTCCTTCCTGTCCACAGTTCAAAAGGAGTCTTTCGAACTACCTTACTAGGAACCCTATTTAATAAATATACAACAGTCTTTAATGCATATATAAACAATGATGAGGGTAATGAGGAATGACTTAACATACTCCTAACCATATCCATTAACGTTCGGTTATGCCTTTCTACAACACCATTCTGTTGCGGTGTTCCCGACATTGTGTATTGGGCACATATGCCTCGACTTTCCAGGAATTTAGCAAATGGACCTAGACATTGTCCAGATTCATTGTATTTACCATAATATTCACCACCTCTATCTGATCGTACTACTTTCACTTTTCTATCTAATTGCCTCTCAACTTCATTAATGAATACCTCTAGGATATTAACAGATTGAGATTTTTCATGCAATAAATAGATATATTCATAACGTGAAAAATCATCTATAAAAGTGATGAAGTATCTTTCTCCACTAAAAGAAGGTACATCAAAAGGACTACATATATCGGTGTGTATTAATTCAAGGAGTTCTGTGCTTCTTGTGGCTGCTTTCTTAATTGTGGATGTGGTTTGTTTTCCTTTGATACAATCCACACAGACACCAAGATCAGTAAAGTCCAAATTAGGTAAAACTTCATCATTTACTAATCTTTGCACCCTTTCTCTTGATATATGGCCTAAACGCTTATGCCATAAATAAGCATATTTCTCATCCACAGAAGCACGTTTTGTTCCTATACTATGATGCAAGGTCAATAATGTCTCAACAAACAAATTATCAAGATGTAATTTGTACAATCCATCACAAAGCACACCAGAACCAATTAAACAATTATATTTAAATAAACTGAAAAATCCATTCCCGAACTTAAAAGAATATCCTTCTAAATCAAGTTTAGATAAAGATATTAAATTACGGGATAACTCCGGTACATAAAGAGTATTAAACAAATCTAAATGATGTCCAACATTTAAAATTAAACGATAGGTTCCAATGGCTTCAACTCGTGCTTTGACTCGATTCCCCATGTACACAAATCTTTCATTGTCGTTTATGATCTAGGTCATAAGGAATCCCTGCAAAGTATTAGAGATATGAGCGGTACATCCATAATCAATCCACCAAGTATTATAAGGAACTTCCGATAAATATGATTCGAAACATACAAAAGCACTGGGCTTACCTTTCTTTTTGAACCATGCCTTACGTTTCAGGCAGTCCCTCATATAGTGTCCAACTTTCTTACAGAAATGACACTTTTCTTTAGTCTTATCCTTCTTATGGACTTGGGCAGAAGACTCATTAATCTTCAGTGGCCTTTTGCCCTTTCCATACTTCTTGTTGGATTTGTTCTTAACTCCAGACTAGCTCACAAGATTAACAAAATGAACTCCTTATTTCTTCAATCTTTCCTCCTCTTGAACTAACTTAGTTTGAAGCTCAGTCATATTCCATTTATCTTTAATTGTGTTATAATTAATTTGAAATGGACTAAACTGAGGAGGTAAAGAGTTAATGACAAACTGAACAAGGAAACTTTCGTCCACAAACATTCCCATGTTTCTAATTCTTGCTGCTATAGTTGACATCTCAGTCACATGTTCATACATGCTACGAGAACCATCATATTTCATGGTGGTCAGCCTACTCATTAATGCCCATGTGTGGGACTTGTCAGCGGCCTCAAACTGAGAAGTCTCTTTGGCTAATCTCATAAATTCCCTAGCATATTCTGTGGTAGGAAGTGAGATCTTGATTTCGCTCACCATTGTCATCCGTAAATATTTCAGGCTCAATCTATTCGATCTCTCCCATTCCTTATGGAAAGGCCTTTCTTCATTAGTGCTGTTCTCAGTGAGATCAGCTGGTTTCTCTGTCATGAGTGCAAGGTCGAGATTTTGAACACCCAAGTAATACTCGACTTGTTCACTCCATTCATTATAATTGAACCCATTAAACTTAATAACAGATGAGGCGTGAAGAGCAAATGCTGCAAAAACAAAAAATTATGCTTACACATTAATGCTTTGAGTTTTATACCTTATACATAATTTCAGATTCAGATATTAACATTAATTATTATTAAAACATAAATATATATTGAAAATCTCCTTTGGGAGATATAACAATATACGATAATTAAACTTAATTGATGCAATCTTTTATAAATATGTTTGTTATCTTTGGATATACTAAACACACCTAATCAAGTACATTAATTAACCACGATTATGTTCATAATTATAGGATTAACTAATCTATCTTTGGGCGATCCTTAACTATCCTATAACATATAAACTTCAAATTACTCATGTCCAATATATTATGTCATCTCATTAAAGCATCTAATGATCATGAGTAATTGAATCTTATTTAGTTTGATATCTATGGGATAAACATTTTAATTTGGCCACTTTGGTGACTAACAAATTATACATAATATAGTTATCAAACTTAAATAATAACTATAAGGTTGTCATACTTATCTTTCTCTAAAGAAACTTATACTTTAGAAACTTATACACATTTCACGTGCCTAAACACACATTAAGGACAAAATTGGGTTGATTTGACCCTCATTATTAATTTTGATTGTCACTGTTAACTTTGACGGTTGACCGTTAATTTTAACTGTTGACCTTTAATTTTAACAGTTGGCCATTAGATTTAACGGTTGACCGTTAACTTTAACCATTGACCAGTTCAGTCAACGGTCTGAACCGGTTTAATCCGTTGATCGGTCCGGATCACCTTTTTGGATCCTAACCGGGTCAGTTTGACCCATTTTTTCGGTTCGGGTCTGCCTATTTAAACCTATTTGGGTTGACCCGTTTGACAAAAAAAGATTGGGCTTCTTTATGGGTTATAGGTTTGGGCTTCTTTGTGGGTTATTCTTAATGGATTTGAAAATTGGGCTCACTTAATAAGGCTTTTATAATTGGGTTGGGTCAATATTTCATGGAAAAATTAGGTAAATTTCATATTCCGAATTTCTGGAAATTTTTTTTTTTTTTTATTGAAAAAGGTTTCTGGATTCTGAAAATTTGCACTTCAGAATAATTTTCGAGCCTTCCAATTTGTTAATTTCTAAACCCAAACTACTTACTTAAATCTATTTTACCCAAACCATTCCTATTTCACAATTTCCAAAAACCCAATTAATTTCTACATCCCATAAGAACCCTAAAAAATAACCTACTGGAAAATTCATCAGTCTCTAAACCTGAAATGGCTCTGATACCACATGTAAACTTAAAAGCAAACTCATCAAAGGCAAAGAATCAATAATCAATTCATGTTTCTATGCCCTAAGTTGCACAAATATAAAGTTATGGGATCTTGAAACTTGATGAACTTTCTCATATATATAAAAGAAATACATACATGATTCCATAGTCTGAAAATTAAAACTTAAATCTTGATTGAATCAAACATAGGCAGCGTTTCTCTCCCTTTCTTCTCTTCTGTAATCGCAAATTCTCTTGATGGGCAGAGAAATTTTTTTAGCGTATTTTAGAATAGAGAGAGGACCCACCTTTTATATTGCAGTTATGTAATTAACTGCAAACACCATACCTTTCCATCAAAGGCTAAAGACCAATATGCCCTTCAATTAAATTAATTATTACTAAACATTATATTATATTTAATTCACATGGACCACTTTATAAGGATTATAAATAATTCTAACATTGATACCTTAATTTGTGATAAAAAGATGGCAGTTTTCTATAAACACTAAAAAGAATAAAATATTAAGGATTAAAAAAAAAAATGAAAAGAAAAGCATTAAGAGGAAACTAAGCATTAAGAGGAAACTATGGACATAGCGCTAGAGAGTGGAGACGATAGAATTTTTTGGGGTATTGGGCCATGAAAAGTTCAAATGGAGTAATGCTAGTCTTGACGGAGACGGTTCACAATTCTACTTGTCCTACATGTTTTCAATTTCTAAGCAAGCCCATGACGAATTTAAGTGAATCGAGCCACGTACTATATGTTTCTAATGTCCCTCACTTTTAAAAACATTTCGTTAAAACTTTTAAAATTATTAAAATATCTAATGAACCCTATATATTTCCAAAACTAGTAGTCGGGTCAACTTATATCTAAATATTTTTTTAATTTTTTTGAAACTTATTCTGAGGGGTATTTTGGTTATTGCAACAGTCAAATTGGTCAATAGTTAGTTTTAAAAGAAAAAAATAATGATGTGAGAGGTGGTTGGATAATTCCCATAACCATGGGACCAACTTCAATTCAATAAACCACAAGGGAGGTAATCAGTTTATTATGTAAACACCTCGAGGTTTCCCTGATATATCTAAACCCTCAGGTGTATTAGGGATAACCCTAAACTCCCTGCTGTTACTTAAACGTTATAAATCTTGACATTCGATATAGGCAAAAGGTGTAAATACCAAAATTGACCTTCTTCTTTAACTTTCTATTTAGTAGTGGATGAGGAATCTTATCGTACCACCCCCAAGCACGATAAGAGGTGCCATGTCTAGGCGCGACATGGTTGTGTGTTTAAGTATGCCCAATCGCATTGTGTCGATACATCGCACCTTGGAAGTCTCATGAGGCTTATTGATGACGACTAAGACGAGTAAAGGGTTGTGTGTATGGTGAAGAGGTGAAGGTGTGAAAGAACTATGATAGTTTGGGTAAAGGTGAACGACTGTCATAAGCAGCCAATTTTTGAGTTCTATTTGTTTTCCATTTTTCATTTAAAAAATACTTTTATAATGGTAATTACTGCTTTACCCTTCATCACTTTCATTTATAAGAAAACCCATAACATTTGGGTAATGGCAGAGGGTTCAGAGTTATTTCTGATAACCTAAGGGGTTTAGATATATCAGAAAAACCTTAGGTTTAGAATAATAATCCCATATTAATATACATAAGATTTACTAGGTATATAAGAGCAATGTGGATTGTGGAGTGAAGTTCTCATCTATTTACTCTCTTGACTCTTCTAGAGGTAAAATCAATGAAGTTGAGCAAAAGAGAATCCAGTGAAGTTGTATAAATCACAATGGTGTCAGAAATCCAATTAAACTGTGTTTGAATCATGGTTACAATATTCCGTATGCAACAAAATCTGACCAAAAGACTTAACTAAATTAAGAGAATTAACTATGTTGATGCGTGATTTTGACACAAACAACTCGCACGTATAAAGTGCTAAGACGTTTTTAGAAATTACATGTGAATGATTATAATTAGATACAAAGACTGAATAATAAATGAGAGATGTGATTTTTAAAGCGGTTTGGATGCTTAAAGCGAATCTCACGTCCACTTTTTCCTTTTATAGATGAGAGATTACAAAAGGTCGCATATAGTGAACAATGAATAGAAGTACAATAACTGAGTATTCAGAGAGAATATCAAATCAGTCTCTTTCCCGTAGGTTATCTTTGCTCTGAAAATAAAGATTACAATCAGAATGAGGGTTCAGTCTCAGAATCCCGAAAATGATTGGGGGAGTCCTCTATTTATAGTAGACGAATTCAAGGTAATGATTGTAAATCTGCAAGTGGGTAGGTACCATGCAAGTCCTTCCTTGCCTCCCATTGGCTAATAACTTAAGAAATATCCTCAAATTATCTGGGCCTTGGATAGGTGTGCAGTCCTCAAACACTCATAGCCGAAACTTGAATTTGCTAAGTTGGTGACAACCATATTCTTTCTGTCATGGAGCAACGTGGCAGCTCCTGGATGGTACAAAGCTTTCCTGAACTCTGATTGGTGCTTGCTGACATAGGCTAATGTCAGCCTTGATTTTTTAGACATAACAAAAGCTCCCTAGTTCTTAAGGTTCAAAGATTGAATCTTGAGAACTTCATAATTATGCCATGATCTGACTTGTCTCGAGGAGTGTTTGCCTAAACTAACAATCGAGAACTACATAAGCGACCTGACGTGATCATTCACAAAGGTCTAGCGACCTAACGTGATCATTCACAAAGGTCTAGCGACCTAATCTAGATCATGATCAGTGCTATGAAAATGTATTTCGTACTCTACCTGTCATTCACGACCTGAAAACACTTAGAACATTTTGTTGTCAACAATTGACAATCATTTTGCTCGGTGTTCGAATGTGACATGCAAAAAAAATGTCTTATTTGAATGACCTCCTTAGATGTTATCCGTTGCGTTTGATAGCTGTCTTGGTCAATAAAATAAGCTTTATCTGACAGACATGTCTCTGCGCAATAAGTGCCAACCATGAACATTAAATGCAAGTCATGATGAAATGAAATTCCCTTTTGAAGCATTAAATGCCGATAAGGGTATATTTAATGTGGAGGAGATAATCACGCTGGCGTTTGGCGATTTCAATAAAGAGAAATGTCAGTTGATCTTCACGAAGTGTGAAGGTTACTCTTCGCGCAAATCAGTGACATGTGGTCACAATCAATGGTTGGAAATGTGTTCCCACCCAAACGTCACTTATAAAAGAGACCCAGCGTTGTCTTCCACCTTATAAAACCCAAAGCCCATTCTAAGTTTCTCATAGAACTCAAATTTTTAGAGAGAAAAACAACGTTTTTGCACTCAAAAGATTAGTTCATCCTCTTCCCGGTTGATGCGCACTCAACTCTATGATAGACCATTCGTTCCCAGCAATCAAGAGGTGAAGCAATTTCTTCTCTTTTTCATTCATGTCAAAAAACTTAGTTTTTATAGTAGTGGTGGGTGTGAACATCTGGTAGGCTTAGATGATGAACATTCTTGGGTAGTGTTTGAAAAGAAACACTTTAAGAGTCAAAACTTAGGGCATAGATCTTTAGAAAATCATTCTTAAGAATTTTTAGGGTTTTTGGTGGCTCTTCTAAATCGTCATACGAGGTAACTTATGCGGGTTTGAGTTATCCCTACATGTCGCCCCTTTATAAAGTTTAAGAGAGATGGATATCTCTGAGGCGAGAACAGTAGGAGAGGGAGGCTTACAACCATCGGGCACCTCGGCGGATCCCAGAAAGGTGATATGATCAACAGTTTCAAAAGAAGAAATCCAGCGAGCAATAGACTAGTACACGATCACTGTAAACGTGTTCCAACACAAGTCGCACACTGCTCAGGATCCTCTTGAGGGATTAGCCACAATCTCTGAAAGAATCTTTAAATGTGGAGTGAGGATACCCCTTCACCCCTACATCAGGTCAATCCTCGACCACTTTCAGATCGTGCCATTCTAGCTGACGCCAAATGCATATATGATAGCAGTCGCTATGTATATCACATTTGGTGAACACAACATCGGCGAGCCAACAGCAAAGGAACTCAATTGCGCCTATTATTTAAAGAAGAGTAAAGACAAAGATTTGTACTACCTCTCCAAGTGATCAACGATTAAGGGAGGGATATTTGGTTACCCCAGCAACGTTGGGGCTTATGAAACAAAATATTTTTCTTCAATTATGATAAAGTCTATAAATTTAAGGAGCCGAGTAGGTTTTCCTTCTAATTTCCAGATTGCTCATCTTTTAACTTTAACTTTCCTTAATATATTAAGCTAACAAATCTTTCGGTGCTAGTTTGTAGCCGCATTGAAACATTTAGTCGATTGCCCGACCAAAGTCACAACGCAAGGCTGCTCGTGACTATCGCCAATAGTCAGAAGTACGGGTTTTTTAGTCCCGATGTATCTTTGGACAGTCCAGCTTGTAAGTATTTCTTACAAAGAAAAATTTTAAGTCTTTATTAATAAAAGAAGACTTTCTTTGCTGACGCATCTTTATGCCATACAGCAACTATGCCACCAAA